CCAACTACTACTAGCTAATGATAATCAAATTATTAGAAATAATCAGTTTAACATTAATTCAGTGAAAAAAGGTCTTTGATACATGACTCCCTCACGACTCGATCCCCTACCGTCCAGTCTATATGCGCCGTCTTATACCATTACACCACCGAGTTTCTGATGCGATTCCTCGGAAGATAACATACTTATAAATCTTATGGATTAGACTCATTRGGAATGCCATGAATAGCAGACAAAGACAATTTGAATAGCTTTTGTTTCAGAAAGCCGTCCGGGAATTGAAGAACAACAAACGGTGCATTGCAAATTATGAAAACTGAAAACCTTAGTGGAGATGCAATAAATCAATATATTTCTGTTATATGTATTTCTTCGCTTTTTTTCCCTCCCGAATATTAATGAGTTTTTGAAGTCGTTCAAAGGCCTCCAATTCGGACTTCACGGGATTTCAAAGTACTTGCAATTAGTTCCAAGCGCCTCGGACTGGAACTAATTGCGCGGACTTTGAAACCCCGTCAAGTCCGAATTGGAGGCCTTTAAACATTACTGAAAGTTACTGGAGACTAGAATCTATATAATGAAAGAAATATTACTTCGTTTTTATTACTAATAACATTAACTTGTTTTCCACTGGACAAGCTTAAAAGACTTGAGAGGTGAGATATGTTCTCATGTTTTCACTGTATTGAATTCAGTAACCTCGTTTTATAGTATTCTAAAACATATTCTGTTAATCTGTAGGGAATTGGAGAAAAACATTATGAAAGAAAACAATGCCAAGAGCAAAGTCAATTGTAAAGCAGCCGAAAGCTCAGCACTGAAAGTAAGCATACACAAGTATAAATTATTCCAATAAATATCAATACTCCATTTTATAGTGGTTCACAGTGACATCTTTGTATCAAAGTGAGACAGTTTTTAACCTCTGCGCAAGGTAGATACCTGTCAGCAATTGTCCTGGTCGCGCATATTACAGCAAGGTCATCCTGTATCTCGCTTTGAAGCAAGAGCTCGCCTGCTTGATTTACCACGTATTCCATGTCTGCGGCGATGATAACGCTCCCATTTTTAGAAATTTCCTTTGCGCGCCATCTGTACCTCAAAGCGGGACAGTTGTTAACCATGTAATGCTGCAGTCTGAGTAATTATGCTAGACGTGAAAGCAAAATCTCCAGCAAGCTCAATCTCTACCTTGATTTGATGCAAAAGCTTTTTTCTGGGACATCTGAAACATCTTCTTGAAAATGTTTCGTTTCAGGAGAAGAGAAAAGTCATCTGTGAAGACGATGATGCGTAAGTATTCAGTACATTTTAAATAATATGTTCAATTAGGAAAAGCAAAAGCATTTCAGAAGCATTGTTTTAGCGGACAAGAAAAAGGACGAGAGCTACAGCTACCATCATGCTTTGCTGCACAAAATGGCGTCGCTGCACATTGACTATTGATCGAGTGCTTACTTTCCCTTTCTTGATTCACTAGTGAAAAACAGGTCCAGCTTGTCATGAACATAAACTTATACAACAATTAGATAACGCGGATTTCTGTGTTTGTTGTCTATGTCTTATAGTTCTATTTTACTTATTCTGTTTACAGCTGCAGTCTGTTAGTTTTCACCTGCAGGTCTCACTGATCACAACAACAACAAAATGTTACATTTTATATCAATAATTACTTTCTTATTTTCATAACTATAATCTGTCCTTTTTATCACATCTACTGATATTTGCTACTATTTTTTAAATTGGTTTTGAAAAAATGAAACAAAAAACCTTAAGTGCGCAAATCTTACATGCACTCTTCTCTTTGAAGACGGTCCTATCACTTTAATTCGGTTGTGCTCGTTTTCTACTAAATCCATTTTCCAAATAAACTGACTGTTTTCGTCTGAATTAGGCAAGATAGCTAGACTTTCAGATTTAATTATACATGAATTGAATTTTACAGTTTTGTCTGCTTGATCTTCAAATGTCGATAGCGAGCCGGTACTTAGACTCTTTTTCAATGAGTAGGGATCCCTGACCATGAAAATGAAAGTCAAAAATTGCTGCAAATACACTTGAGTCTGATATTTTTTTGTTAGGAAGGCACGCCGGTCCATCTTAATGACGCTTTAGCGTTTTATTATAAGTGTGTTTCTGTGTTTTCCCGTAATCGATGGAAAGGCGCGATGCCCCATCATTCATTAGTAATTGTTTGTGTTTTTTCTGTAATCGATGGAAAGGCGCGATGCCCCATCATTCATTAGTAATTGTTTGTGTGTTCTGTAATCGATGGAAGGGCGCGATGCCCCATCATTCATTAGTAATTGTTTGTGTTTTCTGTAATCGATGGAAAGGCGCGATGCCCCATCGGCCTCCAATTCGG